ATTAGGGTCCCTCTGAATTTTCTGTCCCCATTACACACACTCCCTTCTCCCTCAATCCCCAGAGACCTTCTTCTCTCCCCAATCATCAGAGGCATTCTTCTTTTTACTCTAATCAGCCAATAGACACAGTAGTAAAACATTGTTTTTTCGTTCACTCATACACGAGCCGATAGGCTCCACCTCTAATTCAAATGATTGTTCGTCATTCATACCAAAGTCGCCGCCAACGCCCACTCATCTTCCTCCTACACATCAACTCAACGAACGCCCAGGGCCCAAATAATCGTTAAAGAAGGCAACCGGATTTTATCCGAACATCTTCGGTACAAAAGAAAGAACCAGATAAGAGATTCAAAACCTTTAGAAAAATGACTATCGGTGAACACGAAATGGTTAACGATTTTGATAAGCATTTCTGGCTTTTATTTACACTTGGTAATATTTAAGCCATTAATTATTCTGACTAATATCCTCATCTCTGTTACTATTTTTGATACAAGGTGGGTTTTTTTCTTTTTATACAATATTCTTATTATTATATGAATTATTCTACGAAAAAAGGTTATGGAAGTAAATCCAAACAGAAAATCCGGAGTGGAGCCCCAAAGGCGGTTGGCTGTCAACACTGACAACTTTCTAGCAACTTCTGCAGCCAAGCTGGCCCCAAATATAATGCCCATATTCGTTTCGATTTTGTCAATACGGCCGTGCAGACGGCCTCCATATATCATAGCCCAGGTTTGCGTTCAAATTTGGGCTGCGGAAATATAAAAAACGAAAAATGATGTTATTCCTAATAATTTCTAAATAAGAATAATATATTTTCTTAGAATTTCAGGCAGCGCTACACCTTGATCTAAACAATAAAGATAAGGATATTATTTCAGATCACCATTAGGTTTCGTTACAAAACTTCATAAAATATATCTTTTTGCGAAAAATTTTCTGAAACTTACACCAAATCTGATACTATGAAAAGCTTGTAAGACTATCTCAATTTATTTTCTTTGATATTATTGGGTACTGATTAGTGAATTATACTGAGTCAAGGGCGGAATGGATTAAATTCATGCCTTTCTTACAAGTATTGGGATGAAAATGATTTCAGCCACTATGAACCGAAATTGAACTCGCTCCAACATATCTAATTCCTGGGCCACTATGAAGTCGACCTCTGTCGATTGTATGCCAAAATGATCTTGAAATTTGTCTATAGGGATATTATTACACGAGAGTCTCTAGAGGCAGTACTACTACTACTACTAGAGAAGAAGAGTGTTGAATTTCGTGTCGTCACTGGTTTTAAATCCTGCAGACCCCAACGCTACTTCATAGACTTTATCAACGAAAGACGGTTTCTTTTTCATATTGGTTTTATTATACATGATAGCATCGATCCTAGAAGTCAGAGGACGGAAGACCTTCACGGGAACTCATGCTCACTCGTTAGATGAGCATCCTGCCACAGACGGTCTTAGACTATTTATAGAATCTGCGTGTCGATGGTTCAAAATTCTTGCAGCGATCTGCCGACTTTGCGCTGTTTTCGTCTTATATCCCAAACTTAGACAAACGCAATCCATAATGGCAAAATTCAATGCCTACGAGGTGTTCTGACTAATCGCTTGCCATCCTGACTCAGCCTCTACATTCTGTAATAGAAATAATAGTTATAGAAGAGGAATAATTCTACTGTTAGAATTACCAATTATTATAATTATTGTATTTATTGAATTTTTAAGTAATCCGAGCCGAGTAAGTTCCAATGGAATCATAGCAAATTTTCTCACTTTATCCCCAGTATTTTTACTGATTTTAGTAAAACCTGTCGTCGAGTTTATTTGAACCCTTTTTATTTTCAGTTCTTCAAATCCAATAGCTAATCTCCTCAAGACTCAGGCCCGTCGCCAGAGGGGGGGGGCTGCCTTGAAAGCAGGGGGGAACGAGTAAGAAATTACACACTAAAATTATTTCATATCATTTTCACAAGATTAGATGATTTTTCGATTTTTCAAGCCACATCCACCCCCGACCCTTTGTCGAGAGTGTTGTAAATGCGCTAGTATTTATATGGGCACGTGGGGAGGGGGTTGAGACACTGATTTTTGGTGCTTCGGTTTCTTGAAGTGACTCAATTAGCATCTCCAGTGGCAATCTTTCACTAAAAATTCTTATATCCTGTCTACCAAGAAATAAAATGCAGACTGTGAAACATTGTTCAATTCTTCGCTCTGACAATTCATGTCGATTCTATTTTCTCGTGTGTTTAATCTTCCCTACACTTTGCAAATATGTATCAATTGTTGAGTAATAGACAATAATTTTTTCACCGAATTCCAATTTTCAGTGAATGTGTTCCTCACCGAAAGGAGCTTACAAGTCATCACTTCCAAATTCATGTGGTCAACTGATGTCTACATCATCTGGCGTCAAGGCCTTTCATTGGAAGATTCGACATTTTGAGGAACGTGAAAACACCACTTAATTGCTGTCGTTCCCAGCTCCACCCTGACCCAGGATGGTGGCACCTGTTAGGGACCCAGCTATAGGTAAATAATGAACCCCTGAAAAAAATGAAAACACTAGGAACGTATAAAATGCATTTATACAGTAAAATTAGTCAAATTTACAGTCGAATTACCAGCAACACATATTTATAGCAAAATGACCAGCAATACATTTTGTCTCTCGGTGAAGGCATGTAATTGCATTCAAAAGATATTTAGATGAAGGCATAAAATTACGTTCAAAATATTTAGATTTCGACAAAATAAATTAAATATCCCATAGAGGTGTTGATATGCCACTAAACAAATTCAACCAAACCAATCAACTGATGCGTAAATATATTTTTATTGACCTTCTTATATCATTGAAGACATCGTCTCTAAAGACTCCATTAATCATCTTCTTCGTCTCAGTTTTTGTTCACTTCAATATGAAAAGGAACAATATGAAACACTGAACTTACATTTTTTCTCTATTCCAACACAAAATAAATGAATGCTACATCGACACAGTTGAATCCTATTTTCATCCGTATTCCATTTGTAAGGAGGAGCTTCCATTCAGCTTGTTTCCAAAGAATCGCTACTTTATAGAACAGATTCCTGTGTGGATGCTTCCCTGAACAGTACAATATTAACCTCTTTAATTCAAGGTTCATCGTTATCTATCCTCCTTATGCTCATAATTTTCACCTTCTACTGTCTCCTGTTATATTTATATCCCACACCTTAATTTGTAACCTTCTACCGTGAATGATTCTAGTGTCTTCCACTGAGTGAACTTTAGTAAACAAAAAAGCACTGAATATTCAGTAGTGTGTACTGATTACATGAATTACCGATGACCAGAGCCATATTTGTGATTTGTCCAATATCTCCCTAAAGTCAAGGCACGCCCAGATATGGTTCTCGTTAAGTTTATTAATTTTTGAATTCTAACGAAATTATAACATTAGTTCAATGTCTAGACCATGCGTTTGTGCGTGTGTGTCATATAGACAGGAAAATTCTAAAGGAGCTACGCTGAAATTTTTACCCCCAGGGATGTGAAAGGTCTATTCAGTTCTCGCAAAGTTGGTGACGTTATTTTACCAAGATGGTGTCCAAGTGGAAAAATTTTATGGAGACTATGGTTAGTAAAAAAGAAGCGAAGATATTTGCGTCGCTATGTTTTCATTTATATTTTTGTAAGACAAAGATGGGCGCGTGGCCGAGTGACTAGAACGTCAACTAAACCCGAGATTAAATCTCACCATGGTTAAACCAAGGAGGTGACTTCTTGCGACACTGTTGGGAAATGTCGAAAAACCGAGTTCACCAAAACACGAAGCAGTTTGGAAGACGTCCATCATTGTGCAATCACCAAATCATGTTTCATTGTGCAATCACCAAATCACGTTTCATTGTGCAATCACCAAATCACGTTTCATCGTGACCGATGATTTGAACCAATTTCAAATTTGTTTATGTGCATTCTCCTTAAGGTTCGATCGATGTAGATTTTTTTTAAATCACTTCACCCCCAAGAAAGGCAATAATACTACTAAGAGGCAAGAGTATACTGTGAATGAAAGAGAATGAAAAAGACTTTATAAGGAAACACAATCCTAAACAGGAAACAAGTGATAAATCTCGACTCCTATTCAAAAGACCGGGGAGGAGTGTGAAACGGACGATAGGTGAACCTATCCACATCTTCCTTTGAATGAGACGATGTCTGGCAATTTTTTTTTAAACAAGCGATGTTTTGCTTTCATTTAAAAAAAAACATCCATTTTGGCGATACCTAGAAAATAAATCACAGTTGGACTCTGTAGGTGATGAACAAACTCAAATTTACTTGTGTAAATTTTGTAGCAGGGATTACCTATCCACTTTAGAAGACTGACATTCTTGGAAACGAACGGCCAGCCATACACGAGAAAGGTGGAGGTGGCTTTAATTTTGGTTTATATTATTAAATGGAGTAATGTATATATCCGAACGAACCTTTGCCTGGGCGGTGTGAGACACGTCAGCTGGTATGTGTTAAAGAGGTAAGATCATTTTGAGAAGAATGAATTCACGAAAGATTTGTCTAGGAGAACAAGGAGAAATTGATTTCAAGTGAAATTTACCGAGGAAGGTTAAGTGAAATTGAATTGTTCTGCAAACAAAAAATAATAAAAGATGAATTATTAAAAGGGAATTGACTTGGAAGTTTGCTGTCAGTGATGATGTGGCAGTGAACTAAAAAGACAATCAGGACGAAAATTTATTTCGAGGGAAAATTATCGAAAGTCATAAGAGAGAAGAAAACGCACTAGAATATTGGGATTTTTGTATTAAAAAGAGAAGGTAAGATATTGGAAATCTTGTAAAAATCGAAAGAGAATACAAAAGCTGGATTTTTTTTCTGTTCATTATCTATCTATCTATATTTGTTCATTAACTTTCTATCTATCTATCTATCTATCTATCTATCTATCTACTATATATAGACAAATATCATAA